GGAGAACGGTCCAGCGCCTCTGGAGGGGGAAGCAGTGCCCTGCCAAAACTGTTTACAGTGGAGATGGGCAGCTGTCGACCTCCACTGGGGACATCATCGGACGGTGGAAGGAACACTTCAGGGATCTCCTCAACCCCAGCGTCACGTCTTCTAATAAGGAAGCAGAGGCCGGGGGCTCGGAGGCAGACTCGTCCATCACCTAAGCTGAAGTCACCGAGGTAGTTGAGAAGCTTCTTGGTGGCAAGGCACCGGGGGTGGATGAGATTCACCCTGAGTACCTTAAGTCTCTAGAGGTTGTGGGACTGTCTTGGCTGACATACCTCTGCAACATCATGTGGCAGTTGGGGACAGTGCCTCTGGATCGGCAGACCGGGGTGGTGGTCCCTCTTTTCAAAAAGGGGGACCGGAGGGTGTGCTCCAACTACAGGGGGATCACAATCCTCAGCCTCCTCAGGAAAGTTTATGCCAGAGTACTAGAGAGGAGAATTCAACCAATAGTCGAACCTCAGATCCAGGAGGAACGATGCAGTTTTTGTTCTGGCCATGGAACACTGGACCAGCTCTATACCCTCTTTGGGGTGGTGGAGGGTTCATGGGAGTTTGCCCAACCACATGTGTTTTGTGGATTTGGAGAAGGCATTTGACCGTGTCCCTCGTGGCATCCTGTGGGGGGTGCTCCGGGAGTATGGGGTCCGGGGCCCTCTGTTAAGGGCTGTCTGGTCCCTGTATGACCGGAGCAGGAGCTTGGTTCGCATTGCCAGCATTAAGTCAGACTTGTTTCTGATGCATGTTGGACTCCGGCAAGGCTGCCCTTTGTCACCGGTTCTGTTCATCATTTTTATGGACAGAATTTCCCCTGAAGCCAGGGGCTGGAGGGAGTCTGGTTCGGAGACCACAAGATATTAACTCTGCTTTTTGTGGATGATGTCCTGTTGGCTCCATCAAGCCAGGACCTCCAGCGTGCACTGGAACAGTTTGCAGCCAAGTGTGAAGTGGCTGGGATGAGAATCAGCACCTCCAAGGCTGAGGCCATGGTTCTCAGTCGGAAAAGGGTGGCTTGTTCCCTTCAGGTTAGTGGGGAGTTCCTGCCTCAAGTGGAGGAGTTTAAGTATCTTGGGGTCTTGTTCACAAGTGAGGGAAGGATGGAATGGGAGATTGACAGGCAGATCGGTGCAGCTTCTGCAGTAATGCGGTCGATGTACCGGTCCGTTGTGGTGAAGAAGGAGTTGAGCTGCAAGGCGAAACTCTCGATTTACTGGTCAATCTACGTTCCAACTCTCACCTATGGTCATGAGCTTTGGGTCATGATCAAAAGGGCAAGATCCCAGATACAGGTGGCCAAAATGAGCTTTCTCCACAGGGTGGCGGGGCGCTTTAGAGATAGTGTGAGGAGCTCGGTCACCCGGGAGGAGCTCAGAGTAGAACTGCTGCTCCTCCACATTGAGAGCAGTCAGCTGAGGTGGCTCGGGCATCTGTTTTGGATGCCTCCTGGGTGCCTTCCTGGGGAGGTGTTCCGGGTATGTTCCACCAGGAGGAGACCCTGGGGAAGACCCAGGACACGCTGGAGGGACTATGTCTCTCGGCTTTGGATAAGCGGAGGAAGATGGATGGATGGAAATATGTGAATTAAAAATGAAACAAAACTGTTCACCTTGAAATGTGTAAATTGTGTTTCCTGTATTTGATTCTGCTATTTCTAGTTACCTAATCTTCAGACGCACTTTGTATGTATACTCATCTCCAAAACCCAGAAAGAAAACTGTCTGAGCCTGTGAGGTGTTTTTATCAGACTGCTTCAGCCTCCATGGATCTCATTAAACTTTCCACCAACAGTGAACAACATGTAAACAACTTTATCAAACTCTGGAGCCCTGAATCAATGGTTGTTGTTGGTCCTGTTTTACTGAGACTTGTGACCTGCTATTTTTTCAGTCCTACCACATTAGACACTGTTGTTCACTTCAATGAACATGTATTGCATGTTCATTACAACTCTTACTTGTGTCAGGGCTTAGTAGAGTTACTATACTCAAACAAACAATAGGCAGCAATTGACAGGTAAGTTAAACAGTCTTTAATACTGGTTCAGAGACTGAGACTGTGGTACAGGTGCAGCAATGCAGCACAGTTATTTTACTACACCAGCTCGTGGGTTCATTTATCAATGTATGGTGTGGTGGTATGCTTATCAAACAGCTTGATTCAATGCAGTAAATCATCAAACCGATTTGCAGACATACAGTAGGACAATACTTTATTGTAGCAGCCTTTGCATCTCATCATCTGTGATGCACAATTGGTTCAACAAGTTTAATGAACTCTCCATCTTCTCCTCATATCTGCTTTAGAGAATGAACAGATCATCATCTTGGTTCTCTGTTTACAATAAATACCACAAACACAACAACTTCTCTTACTCCTGATCGTCCAGAATTTCATTTCCTTCACAGTGCCGGAGTGCAGTGGCATCTCCTCAAAGCACCGTGCTTGCCAATATGAACACGGTGAAGGTTGCGGGCCACGCACACACTGACACATTAATTGGTGGTGATGTGAAGCTCACACAGGAGCAGTGGAGTAGGAGTGGAAGCTCTGTCAAAATACAGCAATTCTCACAAAGGATGTGCTCTGGAAACAGGAAACAGCCAGCGAGAAGGTAACATGGCTTTGTGCCTAAACTGTATCACCTGTTACCATTTCATTTGTTATAAAATCAAAGACTGTTTCTTGCAACTGCTTCCTTTCAGAGAGAAGAGACCTGATTATTGCTGGTTGAAAACTTATTGCTACAGATGTTTCAGTTTAGTAACAGTCAATAGGGCCATCTCAAGTAGACTAATTAAGGCCCAGTTTTAGAAGTACATGGCAAAGATTTGTCCTTTAGAGTAACTGTGCCCCTTTCCCAAATTTCTACTCTCTCTTGTTTACATGTTGGTCACTCTTGGTGTAAAGTTTAATGAGGTCCATGGAGGGTGAAGCTGTCATAAAAACATTTCACAAAATGAAACAGTTCTCATTGATTTTAGGTGATGAACTAGTTGAACTTCAAGGTCAGGTAACTGTGGAGAAGAGAATCCAATACAGAAAATACAATATATCTCTATTTTTAACGTATTACTGTTATTTTATCTGTCTTAATGATTAATATTTTATTTATTTGACATTCTGAATGGAGGAAGAATTAAATGTAACTTATTTAACTTTTGGTGGACATGTGGAGCTTCAAAAATACAGATACCTTTATTTTATAGTTGTTTTTGCCGTATATATTCTAATAATCTGCAGTAATGCTACGATTGTGTACCTGATCTGGAACCACCAAGACCTCCATGAGCCTATGTACATCTTCATTGCTGCCTTGTTGCTAAACTCTGTTCTTTTCAGCACTAATATCTACCCAAAGCTGTTGGTTGACTTTTTATCTGAAAAACAGATCATATCTCATCAAGCCTGCCTTGTTCAGTTTTATATGTTTTATATGTTTGCTGATTCAGAGTTCTTACTGTTGGCAGCCATGGCCTATGACAGATATGTGTCTATATGTAAACCTCTGCAATATCCAAGTATCATGACAAAAACAAATATCATTGTCTTTCTGGCTTTATCTTGGCTGTTACCTGCATGTCAGCTTGTGGGATATACAATAATGACCGCTAATCAGCAGCTCTGTAGCTTTACCCTGAAAATGATTTTTTGCAGTAACTCAATTTTCAAACTTTTTTGTGTGTCTTCAAGAGCAATATCTATATATGGTGTATTCTTTTTCCTATGGTGTGTTATTTTTCCTCTGTTGTTCATAGTTTTCACATACATCAGGATACTTATAATATGTTACCACAGTAGTGGAGAAGTCAGGAGAAAAGCTGCACAGACCTGTGTTCCTCACCTGCTGGTGTTAATCAACTATTCCTTTTTGTTAATATATGGTCTTATTATGGCTCGAGTCGAATCTGATATTCCAAACACTGTGCATTTAGTAATGACTTTACAATTAGTTTTGTATAATCCTCTTTTTAATCCAATTATATATGGCCTGAAAATGACAGAAATTCATAAACACTTAAGAAGATTCTTCTGTCAAAATAAAGTGAACTGATTTCCACAGTAATCACGTCTTTTGTAATAACAGTGCATATGTGATTTGTCTGATCCCTGGAAATGTTTTAATGTTAGGTTTTGTCATGAGTCCTGACACACAGTAAAGTCCATTGTCAGCTTCAACAACATGATGACCTATCAGTTTTGCCATTACTCAAACATCAGTCTTTTATGTCTTGTTAATTACAAGATTCCTTCTGAATGTTTCATTTTGTTTTGAAATAACTACCCATCCTGAACTCTAGTAATGATACAGGTCAGTCAGCAAACTCACATGGAATGGATTATTATATCAATGTAGAGAGACTGTCCTCCAGTCAAAAACACAACTCAGTAGGTAGTTTGTGCCAACAGGTTACTCTGACCAACAGTTTGGTGAGCTCTAGCGACCACAGTATTTATGACAGGACCAAGAGTAAGTTAGGTGATATAGTATATAGAGGCAGTGAGTTACTCTTTAGAGAAGGCTGGGGTATATGGCTACACTAAACTTCGGACCTTCCCCCAGGCAAATGGTGTTTGAATCTAGCGCCTGTGATATGTGATAATTAAACCATGGCAGTTTCCTAATTGTAATGGCATATTTATGGTAGTTTCCATGATGATGAACGTCTGTAAAGCTTGTCATTGCAGCATGTGTTGCTGTTATTGTTGGCAGAGTTCCTACAATTCCACTTGGCAACATAGTGACACTACTTCACAGCTTGAACGAGAAGGAAGGGACAAATGAACATACTTAAGTTATATAGGTTGAAGAACTTGCTGAAAATTGAATATGTACAGCATAAAGGTTTGGCATTTAGGCTATGAGCATGTCACTCCCCACAAGGAAACACTGAGGTCAATGCAGCAAAGAGTGGAGAGAGACTGTTCTATTGGGTTCTATTGGCTCATGCTTCCTCCAGGAAGCCTCCTCACTCCTCAGAGCAGGAAATGATATTTGCATGTTTTGTTGATTGTCTGTGTTATCCATGGAACCACATTGTCCTTTTCAGTGTGCCCACTGTTCATCAGGAATACAACATCTATTGGACCTTCAGAGCAGAACAACTAAGCTTGATATGTCAAACTTACCCAGTTCAGCTCTTTCTAAGAATTGCTTTTATCTCAGAAACCTACTACAACCACCCAGGAACATATAACACTGTTGATAGTCTCAGTCTAAACCCATCTACTAATTCCAATAGAACCGGTGCAACTTGAATCTTCACATGAACCTGCAGCCTCTAGTAGAGATTGACCAATTTCAGTTTTCTTGGCTAATTCAGATTTCCAATTTTTTTAAATATCTGACCTGCTGATTCTGACTTTCTTTCTAATAACTGCAGCTGACAGCATACACAAACATTTTTATAATCCTTTTAAATGAACAATTTAATTGTAACTAAATAAAGCATTGCATTAAACAGGTTTTACATTTTCTATCTGTCTCTCACTCAAACAAATTCTCAAAATAAAAAGGTGCTCCAGGGCACACTGGACAAGCTATTTATTTATTTTTTGAAACTCCAAATAAAAATGAAGTCCACTATTTCTAATTATCCAAATATAAGTAGGTGCAACAGGTAACAGAAACAGAAGAATGTCTCTTACATCAGTCTCAGTGAGCATGCAGTTCATTTTAAAGTGTGTGAAGTATCCACTAGTTTAACTTATAAGTAAAACTGCACTCTGAGAGCCACGTGCTCTGTTAGGCAGTGACGTGTGCCTCCCCTGTCAATCTTGAAAAGAAAAAAAAGTTAACCATAAAATATAATAAATGTTAATATTTGTCGGCTGGTGTTTGTTGTAGGCCCTTTTGCCATTCAAATCCGATGTTGAAGGAATTTTTTTCAATAAAGAATAGCAGAATTTTCATATGTCCCATTCAAATACATGGAGGAGATGCGCGATGAGGCAACACTTTGCTGTGCCTCTCGGTGGATCGTGTAATCCTCACAAACTGTATGCGATGCAAATAGTGTGTCGCTGTCCCTCTATATATCGTAAATAAAATGCTTTCAAACACTCTGATTATATGCTCTGCCTTGCCATAAT